TTCTAAGTTTATCTTGATCATTCCCCAATTGATAAATGGTCAGAGGATATGAACAGGCAGTTTTCAGATGAAGAAATTAAAGCTATCTATAGTCACATGAAAAAATGCTCTAAATCACTATTAGAGAAATGAAAATTAAAACAACACTGAGGTACCACCTCACACCTAACAGATTGGCTAACATGACAGAAAAGGAAATGATAAATGTTGGAGAAGATATGGGAAAATTGGGACACTAAAGTATTTTTGGTGGAGTTGTGAACTGATCCAACCATTCTGGAGAAGCAATTTGGAACCATGCCCAAAGGGCTATAAAACTATGCATACCCTTTGTTCCAGCAATACCACTACTAGGTCTGTATCCCAAAGAGATCACACAAATGAGAAAAGGACCCACATGTACAAAAATATTTATAGCAGCTCTTTTTGTGGTGGCAAAGAACTGGAAATTGAGGGGATACCCATCAATTGGGGAATGACTGAACAAGATATGACATATGTATCTAATGGAATACTATTGTTCTATAAGAAGTGATGAGCAGATGGATTTTGGAAAAACCTGCAAAGACTTACATGAACTGATGCTGAATGAAGTGAGCAGAATCAGGAGAACGTTGTACACAGTAAAAGCGATATTGTTCGATGGTCAACCATGATAGACTTAGTTCTTCTCAGCAATACAATGATCCAAGACAATTCCAAAAGACTCATGATGGAAAATGCTACATCCATACTAAGAACTATAGAGTCTAAATACAGATGGAAGTATACTATTTTCACTTTCTTCTTTGTTTTTTCTTTCTCATGGTTTTTTCCCTTTTGTTTGATTCTTCTTTTACAACCTGACTAATGTGGAAATCCGTTTAACATGATCATACATGTATAACCTATATCAGATTGCTTGCTGTCTTGGAGAGAGGAACGAGAGGGAAGAAGAAGAGAGAAAAATTTGGAACTCAAAATTTTTTTAAAATTTTTTTTGGCTAGACGATGGGGTTAAGTGACTTGCCCAGGGTCACACAGCTAGTAAGTGTTATGTGTTTGAGGCCGCATTTGAACTCAGGTCCTCCTGAATCCAAGGCTGGTGCTCTATCCACTGCGCCACCTAGCTGCCCCCTCAAAATCTTACAAAAATAAAAATGAATGTTGTAAACTATCTTTAGGAAGTGAAAAATAAAATACTTTTTACAGAAAAAAAACCCAAGTTTATCTCAGCTGTTATGTTTGCATTTCAAAGTTTTCTGTGCAGCTATTGTCTTTTCATCAAGAAGGTTTGAAAGTCTTATATTAAAAGTCATAATACTTTTTTAGAGGGGCAGCTAGGTGGCGCAGTGGATAGAGCACCAGCCCTGAGTTCAAATCCTGCCTCAGACCAAACACTTGACACTAGCTGTGTAACCCTGGGCAAGTCACTTAACCCCAATTGCGCCCCCCCAAAAAAAATTAAAAAAAAAATCTAATGACCAGATTTTTTTGTTTGGTCATGATTTTCAGGGAAACCAATGCTTCTTAAACTCTATGTTTTCTGAGTCAATTGTTTTTGATAGCAGATGCCTACATTTTCTTTTATTTTTTCAATCTTTTGACTGTTAAAATATTTCTTTTCTTACGATATCACTGAATTCTGATTACATCATCTATTTTTTCAATGACCAATTTTCAATTAATTTTCAAATCAATTTTTTATTTTAAAATTTAAATTTAATTAAATTTAAAATTTTAATTAATTTTAATTACTTTCTTCAATGATCAGTTAATGAAGGAGTCTATTTTCAAGGAGTCTACTACTTGGGTAAGGTTTTTTACCTTTTATTCTAAATTATATTCTACTTTTTAAAAATCTCACTTCATTTCTCCCAGTCATTTTATTTTAGTCATTGTAGCATCTACCATAGTATTTGTTATGGAGTTACTCTATCTAGGTTTACCTCTTGAGCGTCTCTTAATCTATAGTATATCTTAATTGTGTTTGGTGCATTTTAAAAAATTTACTCATAAATAATAAATTCTATTGCTACTCTAGAAGGTGGAGTAGAATAATATAATGAATACTATCACTACTCCAGAAGATATTTTGAAGCAAAGGCTGGGGGGGGGGGCGGCGGTGTGGAGAGAGAGTGTAGGGCCTTGGGACACCCAACTGATATTCAGGGCTGGGTAGGGGCAAGGCAGGAAGTGTAATGGGAGTGAGCAGTAGAAGAGGATACACTGATCTTGTTCTTTTGACTGCTGGCTCCTGGGTCTGTGGGTCAAGAGTCTGGAAGGGAAGGAAAACACTCAGCCCAGACTTCCCTTGGCTCTTGGGGGCTGGAATGTTCTGGCCTTTCTAGGTTTCTTAAGGGTTTGGGGTCAGGAGTGATGGAGGGTCCAGTTCACTTTTGCCCCACTTTTGGCTCCCACTCCAAGGCCCTGGTCCTCAGGAGTCTCCTAAACCTATTCCAGACCACATTCAGGAGAGGATAAATCTCAGCTCTAAATTCTCTGGGGCAGGTACCCAGAAACTTCCAGCATATCTTTCATCCTGGCCTTTGTCAAGTACCTTGACTGCCCTCAACCTGCTGCTTCTCCCCTCTCTTCAACCCCTTTTCCTATTGTCCTCACGTTTCTCCCTTTCCTCCTTTTCTTCCTGGATTTGGAGCCAAAGGACCTGGGTTTAAATCCCAGTTCTGTCTCTTACAAGCTGTGTGACCTTGGGAAAATCACTTCCCCTCTTTGCCTGTTTCTTCATCAGTAAAGTGAGGTTAAACTAAATGACTTTTCAGGTCCCTTCCAGCTTCAAACCTAATGGTTTCTGCATCTAAGCTTTTTCAGAAATCCCTTCTCTAAACTCCCTTTAGAAGCCCACAGAGGGATAGGGACTGCTTTGCTCACCAGGACTTACAGCCAGCCTCCCTCCTACAAATCAATTCCCCACATATTTCAGGAATTTCAAGTTGATGTGAGGGATCACCTATAGTATTGCCCATTATATCAATATTGACCATGACTACTAAAATCATGCTAATCCATATGCAGAAATTTCCTAGTTACTTAGGCTGAGAACTCAGCCTTCACTGTTGCTCTACCCATTGGCAGAGGCGATGCCTGAGAACCTGACAACCATCTGGTTGTCTGGGACTATCCAAGGGACAAATTGATGGCATACCTACTGAAGCAGGGCCAAATGTCTACAGCATTACAATTACAGGGAAGAAAGAAATGAGTGACTCAGTTTCCCTATTTGCATTATCTATATCTTCCAGGGAAGCTGACTTTTTGTTCATCATGGAAAAGTAGGCATAGTGAACAGAGCCTTCCTGGCCCATGTTTTCAGAGAAAAGACTGACAGCAGCCTGGCCCTCCTAATCTTACCTTGGGGGTTCTAAAGCCAGTTACTGCCCTACCTATAGAGCTAAGCCTGTCAGGGCCAAGGGAGGTGCTTCCTGGTCTTATCTCTCTGGATGAGGGTTCCAGATTCTTTACCCTCTTTGACAAATCTGTACTTGGGTCTGCACAGGATATCTTAAGGAAAACATAATCCTTACCCTTTTAAAATCTTTGTATTCTATCCTCCTGACTTTCTCTCATTGACACCTCCTTATCTAAAAACAGTGCAATGCTAGACTGTTCCTTGCCCTTTCTATGGGTTTCAAGTAAGCATCACTCTAAACCTACAGAAAACATAAGGACAAAATGAGATCCATGCTTCTCATGTAGAGACCCTAAGGTAAAAGTCAGATTCAAAAGTGAAAAATTAGGGTTTCATGTTTGTGAATCTCATGTCTCAAACTGTAGGGACCCCCCTTCTTTTCCTACCCAATGTCCAGGCTGTGTCCCCCTTTCCAGAAAACAATCCTGGGGGGCTGTCACCCCCTGGAGGCTGCTAAAGGACAAAAGACTCCTCAACCATTTCCTCTCCCAAACCCAGATTAGGCATCAAGGAGGTTCTGAAGGTTGGACCCAGAGATAGGGCTCAGTGTTCAAGTTAGTTCTTGTCTATCTCAAAGATCCCAGGGATTAGAGCTGGTACTTCCCAGGCTGCAGAGGCTGGCAACAAATTATGAGGCACACCTGAAATGGGATCTCCTGTTTCCTGGACTCCTCCAAGAAAGAGAGAGAGAAACCAACCTGAGATTTTTGGATTCTATTGTTGCCAAGGGAACCCAAATAAGTCACTGACCTCTCTCTCTTCTCCCCTTCTCAGCACATAAATGTGACCTCTGATGTTCCTAGTATGGGGTGGATAAGGGCAGAGAATGCAACCAGAAAGTGGGGAATAGGCAAGATTAGGCAATGTGCCTGGCAGATTGGAGGCAACTAATGCTTTTTTGATTGACTGATCAGACAAGAGACATTTGGACAGAGGTGAACCCTGCAGATGTAGGATTTCTCCAACTCCTCAAGGATATGGGAATCAGATTTGCAGGAGAAAGACTGACTGAGAAAAAACTACTGGTGAGCTCCAGGCTCTGCCTTGTGACCCTTCTCAGTTGTCTTCGTTTTCACCTTACCTACCTCTGGTCTGGGGGACTCCACATACCCTGAGATTTAAAGGCAACATCAGGATTTGCAGAAAGAGGCAAAGGAGCAAGCTTTGGGAATCACTGATGGGGACTGAGTCCACTGGGTTCCCAGGAGAAAATTTCTCACCCCACCCCATTCCAACTCCCACAGGTGTGTCTCCCAAAGTAAACCCTGCTTGAGAAGAGGGCCAGGAAAACGTGTGTACTGGCCCCCAAGCTAGCATTGCCCTCTGGCTTCTCAAACAATCATAATCGTGCCTTTTAGAATTAAGAACAGCAACCAACAAAACAATGAAACAGTCAAGAAGCGCAGGGTGGATTAGGCAAGACTGGTTAGGGGGTAAGTTTGCTGCCAAGCCCCAGTGTCATCAAAAGGGTGGAGGATCCCATGCCCGACCGCCACCCCTCCTAACCTTTATCTTCCACCCTGAGCTTAGCGCGGCTTTTTAAAGAAATCTTCCCCATGATCTTGGGCTGCGGGGGTAGAGTGGGGGTTACCTTGGGAAAGTGCGGGGATCCCCAGCCATGGGGCGGGGTGTGGAGTGGGAAGCAGCAGAAGGTGTTAACCCTTTGGGGGTGGGGTGGGGGCATCGGCAGGGGAAAGGTCCCTGCCTCCCCATTCGGCTCACCGGTTCACACAGGGCCCCCATGCAGAGTGACTCCAGAGCTAGTGTCTCCTCTCCCTCTTGCAAAGCAGAGAAACCGTTTCCTGCAGCAGGTCTCCGGTCTCTTGTCTCCCCCCCGCCCCCCGCCCCCCGCCCCCAACCCACGCTCCCCACCTCTCGCTTTATTCTTCCCTCCTTTCCCCTCCCTTCCCCGCCCCAAGTGGGAGGGTAAAAAGGAAGGGAGGAGACTCCGGCCAGCCTAGGCGGTGTAGGTCCGGAGGAGGGGGTGGAGGGAGACCAGAGGCTGTTGGGAGCTTTCTTGGAGGAGAAGAAGTGTAAGGATCCCAAGCGTAGACCCATTCGTCCAACCTAAAGGATCTGGGGCCATCCCAATACAGTAGGAGGGGGAATGGGGAATTTCCCTCGGGGATGGGGTGGAAGTGGGGGAGGAGGCCAGGGTGCTTTATGTGTTTGGGGTTTCGGGAAAATGGGTGCTGGAGACCGGGAGTCTTGTAGCACTGGGAGTTGCCTTTGGCCAGCCTCCAAGAGACTGGTATTAATTTTCCCACTGATTAGCGTTGGAGATGCATATCTCCATTTTCCACCCTTTCCGACTATCAGCATCACAATACATAGGCCGGAGGGTTAGGCAGCCTGAAAAATGGAGAGGCTAGCTTTGGAGCCGTGACTGGATGAATTCCCTACCCCCAGAAGCCTGGATGCTTTTTGTGTGTGTGTTCCGGAAGCTGAGCTTGTCTTTGGGGGTGGGGAGTGGGAGGAGCGGGTGGCCTTGACCCATTCAGACTCCATTCCCACTTCCCAAGATGGACCGTGATTCAAAGAAGCAGTTGGTAGGAATGGAAGACCTTTGGCCAATGGATGCTAAAACGAAACACAAAGATCCATACACACACACACACACTGTGGCAAAGGGGTAATTAATAATTCTTCAATTATGAAGAAGAGACAGCTCCCTCCATCTCTCCTCCTTCCTCTCTCCAGCGCATATGGCACAAAAGACTCCCTAAGTCCCACGAGAGGGTGGCAGAACAGCAGGCACCTTTCCCCACCCTGGCAGCACGGTGTCTGCTAGCTCTCCTTGTCCTTCCTACTCAAAGAGGACCAATGACATCATAATGTTGGAGTCATTGTACAGTGTGTCCAACCGTGGCTGATCAAACCAATAGGAATTCGGAAGCCTCTACCACAGGTGAGGCACAGATAGTCCGAAGGAACATTTGAGAGGAAGATATTTCTCAGTTTTTGAGTCTCCCTTTTCTTTTGAGCTATTGCAATTCTGCTTTGCTCATAGCACTTCTCCCCAGTGTTCTAGGGTGAAAATATTAAGAGCCAGAGAATACAAGAAAAAGCTTGATCCTCTCTAGTGGGCCAGAAGCCACCAGGATTGAACCTGGCCCCAAATCACTTGGATCTAGAGCTGAGAGGGCCCCATAAATAGTTATATTCAGACAGCTAGTGTCCCAAGTGAATAGAGGGCTTGGCCTGGAGTCAGATTAGAGTTCTAATCCAGCCTCTGACACTTGAGCTTTGTGACCTTGGACAAATCACTTGGTCTTGGCTTGTCTCAGTTTCCTCTTGGGTAAAATGGGAATAATAACAGCACCTACCTCTAAGGGTTGTTGTAAGGATCCAATTGAGAGAATGGTAGTAAAGTACTCAGCACAGTGCCTGGCACACAGTAAATGCTATATAAATGTTAGCTATTATTAGTGTTGTTACACTAAGATCGGGCCTTGTCACTTCTGTACCTCAGTCTGGCTGTATTTAGCCCTTAGAGCTATCAGCTCTACTTTTTTTCTCTTCAGAGCTGCCTTTAATATATAGCCTCATTCTCCTTTATGGAAGGGGAGTACCATCCAGTGTGATTTGTTGCCTGGGGATGACCCTGAGCCCAGCACCCCTCTTGAACCTAGGTCCAGCCTTCAGCATTGGAAGGGGGAAGAGAAAGGGAGCAGTAATCAGTGTTAATTCAATTTCCCTTTCTCTAGCCCAATCTCAGCCCTGTTTTAGGAGTACCATAGTCAGTGGCATGATAACAGATGTCCCCAAAGCAAGCTGGGTGCATTCCCAAGAGCCATCTGAGCGGAAAGAATATCCAGGGGTCAAAACAACTGCTACTCTCTTCCTCTTCCTGAAAAAAAAAAAAAAAGTCAAATTGTGGCAGTTCCTGAATTCCCCTCCCCTTCTCTGAGTCTCACCTTGATTGGCATCTTCTAACTTCACAAGATAAAACCAAACCTGACTTGTGGGACTGCTGGGAGAATGTTTTGGACTCCCAGAATGCACATCCTTGCCTCTTGCTCTGGAAGGCATAGGAGAGCTGCTTTCCTACCTCAAAGTGGAGCCACTTTCAACTCAGCTTTTGAAAGCCCTAGATGGGCTCCTCTTCAAATCTCTCTGCTTCCCAAGGGGGCATGGTAGTTTGGGGGCCCTGCATGGGCCCCTTCTCAAGGGGTCAGGGTAATTTGAGAGTTTCGGAGGAGGAGGAAGGGAACAGAGTCCAGAGCCCAAGGGTGTGGCAATTGGGAATTTCTTTTACAGATTAAGAAAGTTATTCATTAATTTATATTGATACTGTGGGTGTGGGTGTGTGTCTGTGTGTGTCTGTGTATGTCCAGATCTGTGATTTCCTTGGGAGCAGGGAAATCCTAGTTGTGAAAATCCCTTCTACCAATGCAGCTTGGCAACTTGCTCTCTAATTACCTCAATTGTGAAGAACTGGTTGGACCACTGAGAAGTTAAATAACATGTCCATGTAACCCAGGTCATTCTGACTTTAGACCAGCCCTCAAATGACTCGTTGACCTCTCGTCACCCCTGTTATTGTGTTATTGCTACTATTATGTAATAGTAGCAGTGATGATATTTCACCATCAGCTAAAATGAAATATCCCTGTAGAGTGTTTCTGATCTCTTTTTAGTACTGTATCTCACCCCTCAAACCTATCACCCCCAACCTGTATTTAGCTATTCAATCCTTGGTTCTTAAATATCCCCAAGAGTATTAAAATATTTTTCCTTTATTTGAATCACCATCTTTAGGACTACCTACCTACCTTCAGATTCCTCCCTTATCATCTCCCCCCTCCTCCCCAATCATACCATCATATGCACAGAGCAGCAATAAGCCTGTGGCTAAAATCTGGAGTGGCTATACCCTTTACTTGACCTTGAGTCCCTCTTTGGCCTGGAACTGGACCCTTGTGTAAGATGGGTGTGGAGGCATCTGGCCTACCCAGGCCTGTGGAAGCCCGTATTATCAGCTATGACCCTCCCCTTCACTTGGACCCTGTCCCTATTCTCTTCTTCCCATCCTCACCAGCTCTGAGAATAGTGTCTCTCAGCTCAGATCCCTGGTCTTCATCCATCTCTCTTCTCTGTTGGGTGTGAATGGCATAAATGAGGAAATAAAAGGTCATAGAACAAAGGGAGATCTTGAGGTGCCATGCAGCTAATTCTCTAGCTAATTAAAGATGTCCAAAACAACTACCATGGGGTCAGTCGGTGTTGGAGCCCTGGGAGCCTGGGCCTCTGGAGACATGTCCTTCCCTATGACCTTCACTCCATCCCCCAATTCCTGTCCTGCTGGATACTGAGAATTTGTCAGCTTCTACTCCACAGCAGGCCCAGTGGTGGCTCAATTAGCACCAAACCCCAAGAAAGCCTTGCTACCTGTTCTCTCCTGCTCCATCTGCTCCCTAAGACTGGGGCTGGAGTTGAGGTGAATGACAAAAGTAAACCAGGAAGTCTGCAAGGCATTCTAGATGTACAAGGTTGCACCATGGTCGACATGATCTCTTGTTTTCAGCTGTGCTATCAGCTAATGCCCGAGATCACTTAAAGTACCCTCCAGCTCTAAAATTCTATATGTTTGTGACATCTGTGACCATTGTCAGCACACAATCTTCACCTCATTAATCCCCTTTTACCCCTTAAATCAGAATATGACAGGGGCCTCCCTAGCTTTGCTGACAAATTTAGTCCAACCCCTGATTTTATAAATGGAAAGCTGAGACCTAGAGAGCTAGGTGAATAGTCCAGGATCTAATTAGTGGCAAAGTCAGAACTAGGACCCAAGTCTGACTCAATTAGGGCCACTCACTACAGCAAAGGAAATGAAGGCTCTGCGAGACCTAGAGTTTTAAAGGGAAATTGGATCAGTTTCTCTGATGCATTTCAGTTCCTACATGTGGTAGTAAATGCTCCTCCAAATGAATGATTCTATGGTGACTCAGTGCCTACCCTACAGAGAGGAGTCCCTGCAAAAGACTTAGGTGTACAAAAGATTTATTAAAGGAAACTCCCTTTGCAGATGCAGGTTGGCATCTAGTATATGTCAAACTCTGGTCTTCTTGGCTCTAAGAATTAAAGAACTTATGGAGGAGCTTCTGATTTTTCCCCTTGAGATGCCACATGTGAATACTAACTTTGATTTTCTCTGCCATTAGGCAAATAGGTTCACACTGGTCTAGAGTTAGGAAGACTTGAGTACAAAGCCAGCCTCTGATAGCTGTCATAGTCATTTAACTTCTGTTTGCCTTATTTTCCTCAACTGAAAAATGGGGATCATAATAGCACCTCCTTCCCCGGGTGGTTGTAAGGATCAAATGGTTTTATTAATATTTGTAATATATTAATATTTGTAAAATTCTCTAAGTAGAAGGTACTTAATAAGCATTTATTTTCTTCCTTCTTTTTCTAGAGAAAGAAGAATAAACTCCCAAAACACAGATATCCTAAGGGTAAAAGTTGTTAATTATTATCTTAATTATATCTACATATATATGTAGATATCTGCTTTCTAGAAAGCAAGATCAATTCATTTAAATTCTCAGATGGCAGGTGGCACTTCTGGTTACAAAACTCTTAAAAGTAAACATATCTTAAAACTTTTTAACATCATTTTCCACTGACTCAGCCCTTCCACTCCCATCAAACCCTTCTCTATAACAAATAAATATAGTCAAGCAAAAAAAAGA